TCCAAATGGTATATTCTCAGGATGTCTTGCATTAGTTTTTTTCAAAATCCCCCTTACTCTTATGCTTGTTACTTCAACACTGCCTTGTTTCCTCCCATCCTGAGGTGCACTGAAGCCTGCAGGTGGGTGCGGACTGTGCTGGTCTCCTTCGCTACTATCTTAGTGACTAGAACACAGTTAGTATGCAGTAGATATCAGCATCAGCTGATAGCACCTCTTATGCTAATAGTACCAGTATAGCTGTCGATAGTAATGTCATCACTGTCAGCAATAGTAGTAGGTGGTTGTAGTCATTGCCCGTTAGACGCACAGTCATCATCAAATATGGGACGGAAACAAGATCACAAAATAATTTTGAACACTATCAATGTTCATGAACAATCTTCTTTTTCCTTTCTCCATTCTTTTAACAGCTAGAAACAAATTAGTCACACGCAATAAAATGAAAAATCAACCTACAGAACATGGAAAAATACAATCTTATGTCTTAAAAGGTATAAAGTCTAAAATACTCAAGGAACTCACACAACTACAGTGCAAAAAATAATTATTTAAAGATGGGTGAAGACCGTAAGTAGACACTTTTCCAAAGAAGATATATGAGTATCCAACTGGTATAGGAAAAGGTACTTACTGTCACTACTATCAAGAAAATGCTTATTAAATCCACAAACACAGCATCTCATGGCTGATAGAAAGACTATCATAAAAAACACAAAAGATGAATGCTGGGTATTGATGGTAATATAAATTAGTACAATCAAATTATAAAAACCACAGAACCAGCTAAAGTATCCATTGCCAGATGATGAGTAAAGAAAATGGGGCTGGGGAGATAGCTTGGCGGTCTAAGTGCTTGCCTAGCAAGCTCAAGGACCCGGGTTTGATCCCTGATACCACACGCTGTGCTGGCCCTGAAACTAGGCGTGGTGATGCATGCCTGTAGTCCCAGCACTGGAGAGGCTGAGACAGGAGGATCACTATGAGTCTAAGCTTTGCAGTGAGACTCTACCAAATAAATAAATAAATAAATAAATAAATAAATTATTAAAAAAGAAAATGTATTCACAGTGAAATACATTCAGCCACAAAAGGGATGACATCTTGTCATTTACAGCTACATACATGGAACCAAAGGACGTTATATTAAGTAAACTAAGTCAGGCATAGCAGAATAACTACTTTGTGGCCTCATTCATGTACAAAAGCCAAATAAAGTTGATTTCGTTGAAGTATAGCACAGAAGCCTGGTCACTAAAGGTAGGAAAAGGGACAGGAAGCAAGGAGAGAGGGGAATTAGAAGCTGGGCACCAAAACACCATTAGACAGAAGGAAAAGCTACAGGGCTCTACAGCACAGCATGGGGACTGCAGTCTACAATTTATTATGCATTTTATGAAGTATAAATAAATGATATTCTACATAGGAGACCAAAAAATTCCACCAGAAGACTTCTGGAATTAATAACTAAATTCAGCAGCATAGCTGGGCACAAAGTCAACACTCAAAAATCAACAACATTCCTGTATAAAATCATCAAACTCATTGAGTTAGAAATTATGGAAACAACACTTCAAAATAGCATCAAAAACATGAAATGCGGAGCCAGGGAGATGGCTCAGTGGAATAAGCAGTTCCCTGGCAAGTGCAAGTGCAAGGGCCTGAGTTCAATCCCAGGTTCTGCCAAAAAAAACCCCAAAACATGAAATGCTCAGGGATCATTCCAATAAAGGAAGTAAAAGATCTATACATTGAAAACCACAGTATTCTGTAAAGGGAGATGGTTGAGGATATCAGAAAAATGGAAAGATATTTCTTGCCCTTAAGTAGGAAGAACCAACATAGTGGAAATGCCATACTTCCAAAATTGTTGTACAGATTTAATGCAATCCCAACAAAAATGCTATTAGCATACCTCACTGAATTAGAGAAAACTTTCATAAAATTTACTTGGAACCAGAAGACACCAGAATAGTGAAAGCAATTACTTGGAAACAAAGACAAGACAAGGTACACAACAGACCTTGGATTGAAATTTTACTGCAGAGCTACTGCCGTAAAACAAAAACAAAACAAAACAAAACAGGACAGTATTGGCAAAAATACAGGCCCAAAAATCAGTGGAACAGATGGAAAATGCAGAATCAACTTCAAACACTCAGCCACTTTATCTTTGACAAAAGGGTCAAACATACTCCCTGGAAGAAAGACAGCCTCTTTAATAAATAGTGATGGGAAAATTGGCTTTCCACATACTGACAACTAAAACTAGACCCAAACTCACATGCACTACATTAAAATCAAGATTGATCAAAAACCTAAATTTTAACAGTAACACTAAATCAGCTGGAAGATAGAATAGGTAGAGATCTTGAAGGTATAAGGTTCAGGCAAAGACTTCATGAACAAAACCTTATTTCATGGGAAATATTACAAAGAACCAAAAATGGGGATGTCATCTTATTACGATGCTTCTGCACAGCAGAAGAAATCAACAACAGAGTGGAAAGACAACCCACAGAGTGGGAAAAACTGTCAGCCAGTTGTTCGTCAACCCAAGGACTGATATCTACAATCCATAAAGAACTCAGAAAATATCAGGTCCCCCCAGTTTAGAGCTGCAATCCAAAAGTGGTCACCTGAGATGCATAAACAGTTCTTAAATGAAGAAATACAAACAGAAAATAAATATATGAAAAAAAGTTCAACGTCACTGGTCATTCATAGACGCAAAGTGAAACAACGCTGAGACACCATCAAGAAAGAGTGGATATTATCAAGAAATCAAGCACAAACAAGTGCTGGAGGGACAATGGAGTACTACTCAGCCTTAAAGAAGGATAAGCGCAAGACATTTCTAGGTAAGTGGGTGCACCTTGAGACCATATTTTAAGTGAAATAAATCAGATACAAGTGTGTAATATCACAGTTTCTCTTTTATGAGAAGCTGAAAGTATAAATAAAGACCCAAGTGTACAGTAGATATTATGAAATAGAAATAAATTTTTCACAAGGAAAGAGGAACTAAGGAGGAAGGAGGAGGAAAAAGAAAAAAAGAGAAAAATGTAAGCAAGTCTTCATAATTATGGTGGATAAAGATGGCTTGAAGGAGGGATGGGAAAAGGAATCAAGATATATCATGTGCAGGTACAAATTCCCTATGATGAATGTCATCATTATGTGTATCTAAATTGTACCAATAAATTTAATTATGAAAAGGATAAAAAAGAATTAAAGGGAGATGGAAATAGGACTTTTACAAATAAGAAGGGCAAGAAGAGTTGGAGGTGGGGAGGGAGGGCCATGAAACAAAAAACAGGTAACGTTGACAAAAAATAGAGAATCATGCTACCAAAATAAAGACAATCTTCCATTTGAAATAATACAAATGAACTAGAGAGATGCAATACCGAGTGGAATCAGCCAGACACAGAAAGACAAGTACTGTACGGTCTTGCTTATATGTGGAATCTAAGAGGTCAAGCTCACAGAAACAGAGAATAGAATGGGGGTTTCCAGGGCTGGGTGGGGAGTGTAGAAATGGGGAGCGATGCTAGGAACAGAAAAGTGGACAAAGAAGACGAGGCACTTATGCACAGCAAAGCGCCATTCTGCCATACCGAAGGATAAACTTGAGTCCTTCACAGGTGACCGATGACCTTGAGACCACACTGTTACGTGCAATAAATCAGACAGATGAGTTTAAACAGTGAATGGCTTCTCTTCTATGAGAACCCCAAACTATGAATAAAGAGTGAAGAACAGATAGTGAGAAGCAGGGAGACTTTTTTCAGATGGAAAGTAAATCAAGGGATAAAGGGATGGAGGTGGTGAAGGGACTGAAGAAAAAGAATTGAAGTAAAGGAAACAGCTCTTTGGCAAATGCGGAGGGGAAGCAAGTGGAGGTGCACAACCTGGAAAGACTCAAGGTGTGTCACGCACGTGTACGCACCGACCTCCCGCAGCACATATGATCGCTGTGCACTGCAAACACGTGCCAATGAAGAGCTTTAAAAACTAGAGATGCCCGCTGAAGCATTTAGTTATAAGACCAGTCATTGGTGGTGATGTAAGGTACAAAGTAGTGATCACAGTTAACAGTACTGAATGGCATGTTTGAAATACACTCAAAGAAAACTTACATGCTCTTACCACACACA